CTGAAACAACGTGTGACAGGATTCATCTCACTGTAACTGGAGTACCACCCCACTAAATCTTGAGCTATTGGCATTTGCTGAAATGGCTGTGGGCTCAGAAACACTGTCAAATGTCAGTTCCCAAGATGTGGTCAATAAATCTTTTAGAGCATCTTTTCAGAACCTATTCCTATGTTTTATCCCCAGCCCACACAAGGTTGGCATCATGCAGTTCATAAAAAGCATGGCCTTTTGTGGAATTTACTCCAGACATTCAGAGGAAGAAATCTCATCATTTCAGTTATATTTTTAGGTGGTGACATTTGACTTCAACTTCCTCCAGGCCTGTCCCCCTGCCCTTTTGGTGAATCACAAGTTATTTGTACTGTAATGGGCTTCCTATAGCTAAAGTTTTGTCAACTCATTCTGCCCAGAGCTTACTATAACTGGGAAGCATCAGAAAGACATGCAAGGATATGTTTTGAGTATAACAGATCCAACAAAAGTACACCACCTACACATCTTATTTCTCTCTTCTGTTTCAGTATTCTACTCAGTAAGACTGAAAATCATTTAGGCAGCGCTGTCCAAGTTCACTCCAACTATGTTTCTAGCTGGCACCTGTCATCAAATTCTGTTCTAGCTTTTCCCTTTTAACATGTGGCCCATCTAACTTTTACAGTTCGGTTAGCATCTGTTAATGGCAAAGGTGTCAATCCAGTGGCTTCTTTCCTGTGTAGACTCATCAGACTCAGAAAGTCAATCTTTTTCCTTCCTTCAGCCTAAGTCTAGGTTTTTCCCATCCCATCTTGTTGCAAAGCAGTTACCTCAGCTTCTGAATTAATATCAAATATAATGGAAAAAATCATGTACACCAATACAGTCTTTTGTCCCCCAGACCAGATTTCTCTAAACTCTAATGAAGATCTTTCCTGGATCCCTTATTGGAACTGGTGAATTGTCACTATTCTTTCTGCTTGCAGTTCTTACCCATGATTTTATAAGCCCAAGGATAGTGAATGAGTTCCTTCCACTCACGGAACTGTGCACTGTTCAGGAAAGTTTTACTTAATCTTATTTGCAGGTTTTCTGTAGGAATTTCTTCTTTGTTACTCCTGCATTCCCCTCCACCACAGGCTTTTCCTTAGTTTAGAATCTGTGTTTGATCAGGTCCCAAGTTAGTGCTCTCTTTCAAGGCAGACTTGCACACAGATAGTTACACTAAAATTTATTCTTTTTTGTTCCAACCACCAAATTATCATTTATGTTGTGCTTGTAGCAACCACCTTTCTAAATGTTCATCTGCTGATTCTGGGCTTCTCCAGTCTTTTATTTTAAAAAGAGCAATTGTTTAACCATTATTTCTTTTTTTGGCATATTTTTTGGCTGATCACCCCTTAAAAGAACTTTCATTACCATTCTTCTAGTTTCCTTATTATGGTCAATGAGCTCTACGAATCACCATTTTTTAACTCATATCATTTGATTCGGATTTCATTTCTACATGAATCTTCAGTACTGAGAAATTGAAAACTTAATCACCTTGTGACAGGCCAAACTTTTGTCTCTATCAATTCACATTCAGGTAAACTCTAGAGTTAAGTCATTGACAAAGACATGAGAAAAATGTCACTTTTATCTATCAATAAACAAGGGACTTTATTAGTTACCTCTCCTCATGAAGTCCCTGTTACAGTTTGAAAGAAATAGTTCATGTAGCTACTGGACATAATGTCTATTCAATCACTGTGCCTGACAAGAACAAAGACCGTTATTTTTCTGGCTTGAGAAAAACGTTGTTTGCATTGTTTCTGCTCCTGATTACCCGATCCAAAGGGAATGTCTGCTCCTCTGTCAAAGAGAAAAGAATGCTCAAGTAAGCTAAGGAACAAATAAGCAGCACTTTTGTGCATGAAAATATGCCTCTGCCATTCTAGAGAGTTCCTCTCCTAATGCTGAGAAGTAATTTTGCACAATCTTCTACTGAAAAATGCTATGCTCAGATTTTTGGCTGAACTCAGACTGATTGACAAAGAACTCCAAGAATTGAGCGCTTTGGGGATATTGATGCAATCTAGAGACAATGGCAAACACCACAATTGCAAGATGCAGTGCTTAAGTTCATGTGGAAATTAAATCACAGAAGGAGAAAGAGGATAATATAAGAGTATGGCAAGCAGCTAGCTATAGAGTATGGCAAATTAAATTCTGAATATTATTTTCTCTGATCCTCAGCTATTAAGCATGATGCTCAGAACAAGCAAGAGTGTTCTGATTCCTGTTTTCACATTCCTACTTCACCAAGAAGGAAATCTCTCCACCATGTCACTTCTATGCTAGAGAACAAGATACACCAAGCAATATTCTTTTTTAAACCAATCAATGAGAAACCAGGACAGGTCACTCAAGATCTGCGAGCATGCTCTGGAAAAATATCCATGGATAATGCTGTTCATGTGCAATCTAAAGCTAGCAGTACACCGCAAGTTTGGTTTAACACTGAAGTCAAGTAAGGATAAATTTAAAATACAAAGAAAAGAGAAAAGTAACATCAAAAGAGAAAGTAATATTATTGTGAATTTAGTTTGCCATGCTCTATATAGATGGTTGCTCTTAAAAACAAGAGAATGGGCCATGAAACAAAAAATATAATTGGTACAAGTTATTTTTGGAGGCTCAAACATTTGGCGAAATATTAGCAGGATAAAATTCAAGACACATGACTCAGAAGTCCATCTGACCAGCCCATGGCATTAGATTTCAGCATCATTAATTAAATCAGGTTCTTAGAGAAAAAGGTACTTACAAGTATTGGATTTAATTTCCTTTTCCTTTGACAAGGGTGTCATTGTTTTAGAGACTGAAAAATAATACAAAGCAGACTATACATATTGTTCCTCTTTTCCAAAACAATATTGAACTGGAAAGAATAAGTGAGAAAGAGTAAAGCAGGAACATGATCTGGAGATTTGTTTATAAATTTACTTTTTGAAGTATTAAAAAATTTGTTTGAGGATGCCAAAAGTTTCCTACAACTGTGTGTCTAAATTAATGAAAAGACTAAAAATATATCAACAGAGCATTTTTTTACTTGACTGAGTAAGCAACAAATTATAGTTGCATTGAGTCTACTAGTAATTGTCATTTTGGATTGTTCTTACTTTCCATCAAGTCCAGTAGCATTCTCAAGTACCAGCTGTCCATACCAAAAGCCTTAGAAGAAACTGCTTGAATTCTGTCTGAGGCAACAACCCTGGAATATTCTATTCCTGCCCTCAATAAACATACACACACACATAAAGCTCCTTTCTCTTGTATTAAAAGAGAGTAAGACAACACATTTCAACAACATGCTTTTCTAGGCATAAGCATTCCACCAAGTCCTCTCTCAGTCACCTGAGTCACTTCCATAAAAGAACATTATTTAAAAAAAACCAATCTCACACCATGACTGAATTCCTTTGACACCTCCTTAAAAAAGATGTGCCAAATATTTGATTGTTCATCGTGTTTTAGAATAAAGTATTTTCTTGTCAGAGTATCTTCTGCAAAATGTAGATATTCACACATCATCAGTAAACTGGTATTCCACTAGTATGAGAGGTTGGTTATAGTTGTTTGTACAGTCAGCCTTTCATAATACTCTTAAGCCAATCAAGTATCTTCCAAAAATACCAGACCTGAAGTTAGAACAATATACTTAAAATATATACCTGACAGATGCTACTGAACTTGCTGCAATAATTTGAGCAATTCCACATTCTTTCCAAACACAAGATTAGGATGTTACTTCATAAAAAATAGACAACTGGGGAAAAGTGCAGATTTTTTTACTTCTATATTGGGAAATATTATATCCTTCTGTTCATAGCTGTTTTCTGGTTTTTTGATTGAAAAGATTACTATCTTAAATACTGATTATTAATACAGTTTTGTAAAAAAAAAAATCTCTCCTTGCTACAGGATATTTCAGACTGATATTTCAGACTGATATTTCAGCTTGATTTTCCCACTGTTTAGCAAGAGAGTCTTTCAGATATATAAAAATGACACAATAATCATGCCTCCACTCTGAAGGGAACTTTGATCCTTTGAAATTCAGAGGAAAAAAATTTCAGTGATTTGTAAAGAAAAGAAAAAGCATCTATTCTACTGCAAATTTCTCATATTCAACAAAGGGAAGTGACAGTGCTAACCTGAAGCTTCTGTCGCTTTCTACACATTCCATCAATGCAATGAATTCTGTGACAGAAGGCATCCAGGTCAGCATGTTTCCAGTCTACATCCAGTAAAATAATTGAGAAAAGGTTAATTTTGAAATCTTATCTGGGACCATGAAGGAAATTCAAATTGGTCTACCTCCTAGCCACAAATCTAACAAATTGGTTATTTTCAAAAGAAAATCATAGATCACAACAGATGATAGTATATTATATCTAGGTTTCACAGGCTAGCCGGAATTGCTGTTGATGCGTGCCCCTCTCTTTCTTGCAATACCTTCATAAGCTCCTTGCTTCCCTTTTTTCAGTTTAAAGACAATGTCCTCCAAAAAGCTTTCACAGCTTTCACTGGGACACAGACAGACTTTAGGAACAGCTTCAAGTACGTTTTTCAAATTCCCCTGGTGCCTTTGTTCCACACTACAACCTTATAGCTGCCCCCCCACCTTGTTGAAATTGGGCACATGTAGAGCTCCAATCATTGCAATAAGGTGGGAGTATCTTCATCCATCCTTTTACAGCTACCTGTCTGCAGATGCCCCAGCACCCTTGCCATGTACTCAGCAGAATTGCAAGCAAAAGACTTTGGGGCACACAGTCACGGCATTCTCTAGGATATTACCCTTCTGTTGTTTCTCAGCCTTCTTTTTGTATTCTCATTTATTTTAAATTTCTTCTTGTCTCCATAGCTACACTCATCACATGTTTTCTAAAGCTATAAACAAAGACAAAAGGGTCAGGCAAACACAGTGTCTTGTAGAAAAACAATTTTTTATTTTCACATCAAAACAGTTTCTATTTTAATTACTTCTTTGAAAAGGTAATGAGTTTAAAATGTCCTTTGTTTAGCCTCTTAGATGTAGTCCAAGTCTGAATGGTTTTGCTATTACAGACATTTTCATGGTATACATGAAATTAATCTCCTGTCTGAGAAAAGTACGAGAATCTGATGATAGTGCAAGGAATACAAAATCCACTGTGAGCAATGGCAAGGACTAAAATAGATGCATGGATGCCTTAAGTTTGGCTTAGTAAGTGCACATTGAAGCCAAGATTATGGATAAGTATGCTAAGTACTAAGGCCCACTAAAGCTCTAAGTAAAAGTGAGCTCTATTTAGAATTCAGTTCACATTACTCAGTTATTTCATTTGCCATCCAATTTTGACACACCCATTGTAGGTAATGTATAAAAAGAGGTCTAACCTTTTTGGTGAAAAGCAGGATGAACTGAGCTAACAAAGTGCAAAATATATGAAAGGCGATACATAAACATTGATTAAATCCTCTACAAATTCTCCTACCAGGCAAATATAGACTATAGTCATCATTATTCATAGTGATGATTGATTCAGTATTGCATTTCAGAAGATATTATACAAACTATTATGGGTGACAAAATCTATATCACATCATTAACAATTGACAATATAAAAAATTGCATCTGTTAGCAGAAGTATTTCTTCAGCTCTTGAGTTAAACCAATCCTGGGTGATGCAGTGCACATGCCTTTATTGTGTGATTTGGCCTTTGTATCAAATTCCTGCCAAAAACTCTCAGCAAATTTGCTGTTTTGATATGAGGTACAGAAGCATATGGGTTATGTAACTCTTTTTGTCTCAAGAACTGTGGGAAAACCATATATCTCATGTTTTCTTCAAAGAACATGCCCTTTATAATAAACTCCATCTTTGATATACTGATAGTCCATGATTAATTCCTAACTTTAGGACATGCTAATTCCACCAGGATTAGTCAAACCAAAAGATTTACATTCATAAGTGAGCTCTCTCAACAAACTGCGCACCACCTCAGTTCTATATATTGATGTATCACCTACAAGTCAGGTGAATAGCACTTTTGAACTCCAGAACTAGATTCAGGTTTCTTGCAGAGCTTTCAAACCTGAAATCAAATATTCTCCAGGAATTAAAAAATAAATGTTAATACAATTGCTCTCCTTAACGACAAATATGGTGGTTTTTATTGGAAACATCTTCAACAACTACCAGCTATACTATCTGTAAGGAAGAAAGAAGGCAAATATTTAAACACTTCAGATCCTGTTAAAATCTCAGTTTATCATTAACTGGTTGTCAGACGAAACTTGATTTTGACACAAAAAGAATCTGCTTTCCCTAAAAAACTCCTAAATTAAAAAAAAAAAAGACAAAGTAAAATGTTCCACTTAGAAGACTAAAATCATTTTCACTGCAGTCAAAATTATCCACTGAAAACAAAGAAAGGTTGATTTTTAACCACACATACTAGTACCATGGAAAGGAACACCAAGGTGAATTCTAAGCAGGTAAGATAATTTTGCACTTTTGAACATCTCATCTGCTTCCTTACTACAGCTCGCAAAGTCTCAAATACTCATTCTGCTAGTCCTGGTCATTGAACACCATTGTGTAGATACTGTGGAGGTTTTTCAGTGTGTTCATTTCCTGCCATGATTTTATGTTGGACGCTTTTTGACAAAGTGTTTTCCTCTCACTAATCTATGCCTTACAAGATAAGCTCATCAGCATTCCAGCAGGTAAAATTTAATCCTACACTAGTGACATTGAAAAATGTCACTGTTTTGAAGTTGACAAACTAAGCTTTGGTTTGTAGCTTTGAGCAATATTTCTCCCTCTGGAAAATTACAATTTCCTATTTCCTAGCAAAACAAACAGTTCCTCTAGGCATAGAAAGGTCCAAGAAAACAACACAGTTGTAATTTTTAGGAAAAACTGTGGTTCACAATTCATACATACTTCTAACCATAATATCTGAATCTAAAACAATAAAAGTTATGTTATTTACTTCAGGCATAAAAAAGCAGCCTCAGAATAGACAATTCATTGTTATCATTAATAGGCAACTCTGAATTCATTGTTACTGTTAATTCATGATTTTTTAAACATTAGGAAGCACACTCACAATTAACTTTCACTGTGCTCATTGAACCTCACACCCAGCATGACCAGGGGACGAAACCTCCTCTTACTGTATCTCAAAATGCATTATATTACTGAAGCATAGTACATAATATTGTGCAATATCTGTGTAATATATAGTCCTATAAGAGTGCGTGTGGCACTACACAGTACCACGACATTTTCTGTACAGATTTCTGAAATTGAGGTATATAGACAGATGCATCCAAGAAAATTCTAAGGCTGAGATTTTGCAAAAAGATCATCTGATGTAAAATAACATGATTATCTAGTGTCTCTCTCAGAGTTACTCACGATATCTTATCTGAGCTTCGAATACTAAACAAGTTTCTTTGCCCTTTGCAACAGCATCTGCAAAATGACAACATGATGTGTATTGTACCTCTCAAGAGCCCATACACTGTGGCTACGTAGCTTCAGTCTTCACTGACCTGAGAACACTTTCAATCCAAGATACTGTACAAACAGACCTGTATGACATCTCAAAGCACAAGCTGATGTCAGAAAAACCTTGTATTTTCAAATAAAGTTTCAACCACAATAGAAGTAGTTTAAATTATTTTCCTTCTATTTTTAAGTACATCACTTTCATGAAGATTGTGATTAGTGTTTGATACATGCAATTGGGACATCATATGTTAAAATGAGAGAAGAGAAAACAGAACATTATAATAAAAACAAGAAATAGAATATTTTTAACCAGGAAACCATTTCAAAGTTGTATTTATCTTTTGAAGAACATCATGCCTTCACATCCAAATTCACAAACATTAAAAAAGAAAATAAACAGGTAATATTTTTCTTTTATTCTCCCACCACTCTACCCATCCAGTAGACTGTATTATATCAGATATCATATTCTGCCCATGACTTAGCATCAACCTGCTTCCAGATGCAGTATCATTTTGGAATAATTTAACCTATTGTTTATTCCATTTCCACCCTCACTCATGTTCAACACAGATACTCTGACCTAGAACCCTCACTTTTGAAGGTCATTTGAGAATCCATGCTTGACCTAGAGCAAAGGAGAAGTCTTTCCGACTCATCGGTGTACCTCCGTGCCCAGAGCTGCTCTCCTGCACTCACTGTTCGAGGTTTCAGAGACAGTGTTTCAAATTTCACATAGGTTTCTTTTGCAAGGTCAGCTTCCTTTGCACTTTTTGGTTTCATATGAAGTTTTAAAACTTTGTAGAGTAAAAAAAATATCAAAGGTAAAACAACCACGCATGCTGCACTGCTGGCCACTATCAGAATAGAAAACTCAGAACTGCTTTCATCATTTAACCCATCAGTGGAGAAAATAACACACTGTTCTTTTGTAGGTGGCACGCCTTTGGGTGAGACACATGCCATATATTGAGTACTAGGTTGTAAACCATCAATTGTGACTCTGTTTTTGTTAGAGTCAGTGCTCAGAGGCAACATATCTTTCTCACCATACTTGGAGTACAATACAGTCACTGCGGAGTTGCTTGTGGCATTGACAGTTTTCCAAGTTAAGGTCACTCTTTCATCAGTTTCACTGATCACTCTTAGATTCTTCACAGTGATGTTTTGCTCAGGCATACCTGCTGTATTCAGTGGAGTGTCCTCACCTTTCTTGCTTATCTCCCCAGTCTGCTTTTTGTTTCCATTTGTCACAGCCTTTGAATTTTTCTTTCCATCAAACATGGGCCTGGGTTGCTTCTTGTCAGCAAACGTGATGCTCGTTGATCTTTCAGTGCTAACCAGTGCTGTGGTTGTGCTCGGTGTTGTGGCAAGGGGTGTGGTTGTCATCTCGGGTTCCTGCTTGGATTCCTCCTGAGTTGTATTCTGCCTCTCAGCCTCTTGCTTCCTTCCATACTTCTGTGGTGACACAGTTGTAGTAACTACACCAACCACTGTGACAGTAACAGCAGCTTCTGACATTCCTGCCAAGTTCTTGGCTTTACATCTGTATTCTCCTGCATCCTTGTAGGAAATTCCTGTCAAGCTTATTATGGACCATCTGACACCCTCTCCAGGAGTTTCTTGAATTACTACAGGAAAATGCAAAGAGTAAAACATTATGAATGGGAGCTAAAGAGAAAGTAAACATCATTAGACTATTTCTTCCCCTAAGTTATTTCTGCCAAAAGGAATCACATATATTAAACTTTTAAAAACAAAACACAAACAAACAAAAAAACCCCAGCACCACCAACAAAAAGCCCAAAACCAAGCCAAACTCCCAACACAAACTATGGGATTCCCGGTCATATTATATTATTAAATAAAAGTGATCAGCTTGGGTCAAAATGAAAATGAGTGTTTGGAGTAATTACAACATAATTTGCAGTTTCACTAAGTAAAACACAAGTACATAAAGCAAAATCAAATGTCTTAAAGCTGCTATTGACTCTTAAATACGTCTCACTGACTTCAAGTGACACTGACCATACTGGCCATTTAGAACACTACTGGGAATTACCTTTATCTTAAGATATTTCAGTACTCTGGACTATTACCTTTTTCAGACCTATGATAACTGCTAACCACTTGGCATTAGCAAGAAATAATTTTTACTTTTAAGTTACTACATAAATATCTGTCACAGCAGCTAGAATGATGTCAGATAATGACAGCCTTGCAAAATTTGCAAATAATATAGAAAACATGAATTTGGAAAATCCTGTGTTTACAAAGCTGAGATTTAAGTGGCTTAGTTATGGATTTTTTAAGACGAACATTTTGAAACAAAACAGAAATTTCAGCAACAAATTCTCCTTTCTGCTTTTCAGCTTCTGAGTTAGGGCCCAATTAACCCAATCTTCATTTTTCTTTATCCTTCCCCTGCTTCATGCATTTCTCCCTTCCATACACATTGTTATTATACACCACATCCAGAATCAAAACAGCCTGATGGACCTGTTAAGACCAAGAACTAGACAAAGAATTTCATAACAGCTGTTGCATAGATACAATTGCCAACTTGATGCAATGCAAGGTCCATCGTTACTCATTACAATGATCTCAAAGCACAAGCAACCCAAAAATGTTTGGCTCTCCCATTTTCTATAAAAGAGCAATTGTACCTGTATAGTTCACTGGTATATTGTCTGACCTAGTCCAGGTAAGCTGCGGTGTTGGGTACCCAGTCGCATCACAGCGCAGCAGAACATTGCTTCCCAGAGGGGAAGTGATTTTTGTTGCTGATGTCATCACAGATGGTTTAAGACACTGCTCTAACTCAGCTCTCTGGAACAAGATTCCCGCCAGGCTCTCAGGTCCACTACACGAAATCAATGGATCAAGAAGCACAACTGAGCTGTCCACAATTTTGGAAAATTCAATCAGCTTTGAAATGCGGCAGTCACAGAACCATGGGTTGTCCTGAAAACCTGAAGCAGGGAGGAAAGAGGGGGAAGAAAAAAATGTTGTCAGGCTATACATGGATATTGTGGTTACAGTGTGATGCATGACTACCGCAAAGTACAATCAAGGACAATTGTGGACCTATTTTGAGTTAATCTTTTCTCTTTCAATTTGTCTTTTTTGTTCAGCTGACTGGTGGGGGAGTATTTTGAGAGGTGAGGAAGAACAGTGTGAATGTTTATTAAGCTAGACCTTTTCTTCACAGAAGTGTACAGGAGCATAGTAATGTAGTAGCACTACCTTTGCTTAACTTTACTATTTATCTAGGAAAAAATGCTTTGAAAAGATGTCTTAAGACTGACAATACATTTTAACCTGCCTGTGCCTTCTGGAAAGACAGTTTCTCAGGACTATTGTTTCCTGTCACTCTCCTCTGCTCTTGGTCCTTGTTTGGGCTTTTAGATCTTGATCTTCTAGGACCCTTTTCTCAATGCTTGCAGAGAACATGATGATTTAAGGGTTTAGAGCTTACGTCAACATCTCTGTCCCTTGAAAAAAAAAAGGATAAAAGCTAAAGTTTTAGGCCAATAAAATTCTTATCTGGCTATGAACTAAATAACAATATTGTTAGAAGTCTGGCTTCAATTTATTACAGCCTTTGCAATATATTCATAAAAAGAATAGCAGAGGAGTAGAAAATAAGAAGGATCACAAAACCCCCTGATGACTACAATATTTTTATGAGGGCACACAAGAATTCTCTCTCTCTTCTGTCAGAGGCCATAACATTTGCTTCTTGATTCCAGTCTTTGAGTGAGAGGCTTCTCCACCTTTGTGAATGTACTATGTTGAAAGAAAATACCCATTTCTAAGGAATATCAATCTAAATCCTCAGCTGGTATTTATTACTCCACTATGTTGACCTTCATAGAGCAACAGTGACTTCACCAGGTAAAATGCCACACAGCATGTCATTCATGTATTCAAATATTTTCTCATTTGACTTATACTTTTGGGCATACCTTTCTCATTTGAGTACTAATAATAAATACAGTCTGAAACAAGGGATGGTATGTAAGAACCCCTCCCTATTTAATTTACTGATGAGCAAAACAGAAAAGTCAAACCAATATTAAAAGAAAAAAAAAAGCCTAAAACACCTGCTATTATTGTTCAGTGTGTATTGTTAAGAATTATCAAAACAACTAATGGAAAAATGCTTTGTTTTGTTCTGAAAAAACGTACAGATGAAAGAATACATGAATAATTAACTACTGCTTCCTTTTATCACCAGACCAAGATTAGGTTATTTTAAGCACAATGGTAGTGATTGGTTAAAACTGTGGTGAACCTCAATTAATCCTCACTCTTTAAAACAAGACTTGACCTGAAGAGATTCTGTGACTTTGACATCACAATCCAATTTCACTCCTTCCAGACAGAAGAGATTTTACATCTATTCACTACTTATTCCTTGCTAGAACAGAGAAGGAGAAGTCAAGGAAACTGTATGAGAACTGCTTTTCCTAAAAAACAAAAATAAAACCAAAAACAAACAAACCAAACCAAACAAACAAAAAAGGAAAAACAAACAAAAACAAACAAAAACAAACACAAAAAAACCCCAAACACCTCCAAAACATAAAAATTTTGCCTATTATCTTCACACATAAATTCACAAGGAAAAGAGATGTCATCCAAGTGTGTTTTCCATATCTAGGCACATCAGCTTTTTGTGCTTATAAAAATTCTGCTCAATCGAGCACATGCATGTAATTAGTTTTGCTCATCTTTTCAATTAGGGAAGCTTGTAGTTAGAGAAAATACTCCTGTAATATTCTTTTTTTTTTTTCATTCTCACTTGCTTATAAGGGGTCAATTTTCCTCACTCTGTTTAGAAATAGACTATATGAGCATTTGAATATTGAACTTTCCTAAGGTATAAGAGGGAAAGCAGGATTCCCATGAAACAAGGGGCCTCAACTGCTGAAGTTCCTCCATAGCAAACACTGCATGTGAAAAGTGCTTGTGAACTCCTGGCATGGCCCCTGTGCTATCCAGAGGACAGAAGCAGGGGTCAGCTGTGCTTCAAGCAGGGAGCAGAGCAGGAACTCTGGGCCCACAGCATTAATCAGGACAGATCTGCAGCATCAGCAGAGCTCCCCTCCCACATACTAGGCAGCAGATTCTCCGTTACATTAAATGCTACAGAAAATATTTCTGTCAGCTTTCTGCATCCTACAAACTTTACTGCAGGAAAGGAAGAGGTTTATTATTGTTTCTAACCTACTCAAAGTGCTCAAAAGTTGTTATTGAAATAGAATCATGGAATGATTTATGTTAGAAAAGACCTTTAAGACCATCAAGTTCAACCGTTAACCCTCTACTGCCAAGTCCAGCACTAAACCATGTCTTTAAGTGCCACATTTATATGTCTTTTAAATACCTCCAGGGCTGGTGACTCCACCACTCCCCAGACCATCCTTTCAGTGAAGGAACTTTTCCTAATATTTATACAGATATGGCTTTCTTATTCTTGCAGTGCCCTGAAGAAAACCCAAAGTTGTTAAAGTAAGATTCAGAAATTGACAAAATAAAAGGAACGATGAAGCAAAGATGAACAGTGCTTAGACTGGATGGTTGATTAGTCCAGTCTGGGACACAGGTTTGGCCATCTCAGGTCATTCTGAAATCCTGGTTTTAACTTCAGAGTAAAGCTGTAGTCCCAGAAGACTCTGCTTCTGTGTGTAGTGCAAAGCGAGAGTTATACCAGTTAGCCAGCTCATCTCCCCCATCCATCGTGCTTCCCGGTGGAACTGGCTAAAAAGCAGGACTTACATAAATACAGATAACATATACAGCTACAGGAGTTCCTTCCTTGCCTCCACAGCACATTCCTTCTATTCACCTGTGTCTTGCCAATATCTGACAGCATTCACATTATTTTTAGCCATTGTAAAGCATCATGTGAATTCCCAAAATGAAAAGATGAAAGCACTAGTGAGTTGAAAGCAAAGATAAACACTGAATTTTATTATATTTCATTTAGATATTGAAGAGAACAGAAACGTGGATGTAAACCTAGTTTCCAAACTACAAGGGGCATTCTGAAATTTAACAGTTTGTGTTCACAAGATGGTAGAAGTGAGAACAAACATGTGAAAGAATACAGAAAAAGTTTAAAAAGGGGAAAAAATAAGAAAATGGAAAAGAATAGGGAATTTTAATAAAGGATAAGATGGAATCCCCTTAATTACGTAAGAAGCAATAAATAAAAATAATAAGTCTCCAGTGGTACATGTTTTTGGTGAAAGTCTTTATAAACACTGAATTCTTTTGTAGAAATATTAAGGCAGCTTGTTGATCTGAGAAAGAAATACTAGCCAAGGCAAAACAAACGTTGATAAACATTTATGCGTTGCAATATACCAATGCAGTGTTATTTTAACATTAAGTACTAAATATAAATTGCTCTAAAAACCTTTCTCTTTCTAGATTTAGCATATTTTATATTTACTGTCACACATTTATATGTATGCTTGCATGTCCATGCACATTTTTGTAGTCTCCTCAGTAAGCAGTGTTTTCCCCATGCTGTGTCAATATGGACTTTAGCATTTGAAATAGCTATGAGCAAAATTTACTTTGTAAATCAGTAACCAGACTCAGGCTTTAACTTGTGTAACTGCTTTTCAGTTGCTGCAAAATGGTAAGATGCAAAATATTCAAGTTTTGAGCTGACAGACATTTTCACCACAGCTTGGGCCAACCCAACTAAGGCTCTTTCCCACTGAAGCTGCAAATTTTGGGCCATGGTTCTAAACAGTAAAGTCCACGTCCAACACTGTGTTGCAGTGTTTTCTGCACAGGGCAATTGCTAGGGAGTATATTCAGGAAAAGAAGTATCTATCCAATGGTCCAGCTGGGAACCTGAGGGACCTGCAGCATTCCAAATTTTTGGCACCTCTACATGCAACGGAGGCAAGATCTCATCTAACTGCCACTCAACCAAATCCTGGATTCCTCTGTTCCTCTCAGTGACTCCTCAGAGTACACAATATGGAAAATGCTATTCCATCATTCACGCCAGAAATGTCAATCTCTGTACAGCAGCCAATGCTGAAACTCATTTGTGATTTGGATCAAAGTATTAGGTTGTGGCTCCAGAGGTAACCAAGAGAGGGCCAGAACTCACACACTGCTCCCTCAATCATTTGCACTGTTTAATTGTCGGCTCACTCCATGGCTTTATTTTGAGCTGTTCCAAAGGGCATTTTCCAAGACAAAGCCAGATGTAGCTCCAGGGACAGTTTTCACTCCAAGGATTGCTCCCTGAAAGGTTTACGGATGACACCACACCAAGGGTGGCTCTCTCTGTCCTGTTGTTGCCCCCAATGTAAGTGCAGTAGGCTTTGAACCTCCCAATTATTCTATCACCCTTATCATTCCATAAGGCATACAACATGCCCCTGCTATTTTATATTACAAGAGTACAGCTGTATGGTTTGAATGCAATTCCCACATTACTTCAGGCAGGTTAGAGCAAAGGAAAAGCATCCCTGATTCATGGAATTACATTTCAGAGTCACTGCAGTGTCCTGTAGAGCCCACAGAGAACCAAAGTGTGAAATGGACAGCCAGCTTTAAAGAGAGCTGGCCTAAACTGGATGAGAACCAGAGTGGGCCACTTGGCCATAAGGCCAGGAATCATTCCCTAACCCACTTCCATTTAGCATAGTGCACACACAGAGGAACATCATACAGAGGGAGGTATTTAAAAAAATCCAAACCTCTTAGGGCAGAGATTATGAACTGGAATAAGGAGATGCTAACATGCCAGTCCCCTGGCAGTAGTCTTTGGCTCCTCCAAGAGTCCTTGAAAACAAACATGAGGAACCTGAACTTTCTTTTACCTGCAACCTTCCTGATGCTAAATGAAGACACTGAAGATAAAATTGCCTGCTGGTGTTAAAAAATACATATGCACAAACATCCGAATTTGGGGCTTTGCTGGTTTCGATCTTGTTAATGAAATACAAATGGCAATCTTATCTTGCCAGAACCAGGAGAGATGACAGCTCAAGCCACAATTGCTTACACTAATTAGAATGTAGCTGCTGCTTCCCTGACTAGACAAAAACAGTATTTGTTTGTTCTGAGTTCCATCTTCTAGCAGAGTTCTGGCTGCAGTTACCATTCTAAGTAGGTACATAGGTCAGGTTGAATGCTCTCACAGAGAATAGCTGAAGTACATAGGACAGTCTTGAGCATCAAAAGCATGAAAGTATGCAATTGTGGGCATCACATTTTAGGAGACATGTTTTTTTAAAACCCAAAGGAGTCCAAAAGGAGACAGTAGCTATGGTAGAAAATGAGAAACACCCCCCACCTCCTCCTCCAAAAAAAACAAACACAAAAAACCCCCATCAATCAAAAAAAGCCTTCACATTATATTAACTATATTAGAAACTGGTGAAAAAAAATCTGTGTGATTAGTTAGGATGGCAAACAGGGAAGGAAAACATGAAAGATTACTATGAGAGATGGTAATTAGTTTTTCTGTATGTGCATCTCCTGTAGGACAAGAGGTAATCAGCTTAGTTTGTAGTAAGGGAGATTGAGGTTAGATATTAAGAGAAACTTTCTCACTATCCTGATAGATAAGCACTGGAGGAGGTTACCACAGGAGGTTATGGGGGTGGTCTGGACACAGGCTTTAAGAACAGCTATGACTTTACCAGAAGGGCTCAGTTCCTCTGTATCTGTATCCTATGTGATCCTTCCTGATCACATACCTCTATGATCTTTATCTCCAACTCAGAGGAGGCGGAGAAAATCTATGGGATACATTTCTTCTCCCTCAGGCTCCAACAAGCCCCATAGAGACAGGAGTGTCAGAGACAAGCCAGCTTCTCTTTAGAGATGGTTGGAGCATTACAGAGACATCTCAACTCCTAAGTGATCTTTCTAGCCTGATAGTTTCTGTCAGCCATTCATTCCTGAGAAACAACTGCTTTGTAGCAGTCCATCAACAGTGCCAGTGAGTGTGAGTGCTGTAACTACAACTTGCAATACACATAACAAAACTAGCACTCAGTGAAGACTAAGTAAATTTGTCAAAATAACCCATGACATAAAGAGCCTTGCACTGTCAAATCTCCAGAGGAAGGGGACTGTCTTACTCACTACAGAGTTTATTATGTAGCAAGCACTGTCTATCTTCACTGGGATGTACTCATCAGAAAGCTATGATGTCAACAACAACAAAAAAATTCAGCTAATTAATTCATAGTTTACATAAGGTAGATTTATTCAACACAATACAATAAAAGTACTACCTGGCATTTTGCATTCTCAGATACAAATCTGTAATGGTTGCACAGCACCTTCCTTAGCACCTAACAGTAAAAAATAAAAGAGAAGCAAGGTGCTGTTTAAACTCAGTGTGTGTGCCCCTCTGGAGATCTGTGTTAAAACTCATTTGTAGTTCATAACAGAAAATGGTCCAAAGGTCACATCCCAGGTCTCTAGAGAACTCAATGCTGGCATTAGAGGGTTTTCCAGGACTAGAGGAGGCTGGCAATGTGCCTGCACTAAGGAAGCATGCAGATGGTTGCCGGGGGTGAGGGGAAGAGAGAAGTGTGCATGTGGTTTTAGGATTTTTTGGTGTTTATCCTTTGCGTTGGTTTGTTGTTTTTTTCTTTTTTTGGGGGGGGAGGGGGAAGGGGATGCTAGGACGGTGTGATGTTTGGGGGTTTTTTTTAGTTTCTTTTGGTTTATTTTTTAAGTGGTTTGGGTCGTGTAAGACAAGGAAACCAATTAACCCCTGGGACTCCCTCATCAGATCACGAGGAGGATTAGATCCAGCACAGTCAGCTTTTACTTTATTGCCTCCTGTAGCCTTCATTTTGGGGACAGAGAAAGGAGTACTGAGATGGACTTACTTTTACAGCTTTCTCTCTTTTTTTTTTTAATCCTGAATAAACAAAGATCCTTTAATGCTGCAAACCTACAACTTGCATGCATATAACTTGTTCAACCTACTTGCATCTATTAAGTCACTTATATAAAATCTCATTTAAATGAGAGTTTCAAACTGCAGCTTCTGCTATGAAACAAAACAGCTGAACAAAATAACACTGAATAGTAGGGCTTTCGATCAAAAAATTGGAAATACTAGGCACTACAACACAGAGCTGATCTTTACCAGTGCTTATAGAACTACTGCAGTAGAGACAGCCAGCTGGTTTTCCTCCCTTCCCCTTGCTACACTACAAAAAAAGTCAAAACAAGCACTTATATGTAAACAGTGACAGAAAACAACACTGTTGATAGAACTGTTCCAGCTAAATTCTGAGACTGCAGGAGAGAAAGGGAGTACCTGGAAGACTAAGAAGTGGAGAGAAAGTGTAAGATACAGCACAAAGCCATAAATAGAACTGATATAATTGTACTATATAGAGATGGATAAAATTATTTAAAAAGTCAGAGTGTGACCAAATCATTCTTATATACTTGCCTTAAAAATTCTAAAAAGTACCTTGAAGTTATAGGGATCAGTTTCCTACTCTCTCTCATATTCAATATGTAAATTGGGAAAAACTTCAGGATAATCAGTTACCTTTAAAACAATGCAAGGTCAACGGGGGTCATGGAGAGAGCAGAATTGCCCTTTTTTGAGCCACCAGCACTATCTGCAGCACTGTGCCACAGGACAGGCTTTATATGAGCATCAACTCCTAGCTACTTGCTTGGCTTGTGAGCCATTGGGAAAAAACAGCCGCAAACGGACGTGCTCAAGTTGAGAACACATACAGAGATGACAGAAATGTCACCAGAAACACTGTGTAAGTCCTGCATTTATATGGCTACCGAATACTCCATATGGCCTGTATTCAAGTAGACTGTATTCTCTCAAGTTTTATAATCGTGAGATATCAACATACATGGAGGTCACTATCTTAGTTTTATGGTTTTCTGTCACCAACAATAAATAAATAAATAATCACAGAGCAAACCAGAAGACTGACCTGGATAAAACCCACTCTCCTGAATCCCAGGCTGGTCCCCCATCTGCTCTCACTTGCAATTTAACATTTAGGTACATTTTAATAAGGAATAAGAGAGGCTGTTTAACATACCCAAAATGACTCTCTGTGTCACCAGAATGTCTGTGTTCTTGGACAGGACAGTTCCTGAGAAGGGGGGCCAGATGTCCATCAGGTCTGATGGCAAGGTGGTTAGCTTGTTGCTGGATATGTCCAGGTAGGTGAGGTTTCTCAGGTACCGGCCAGCATCAGCGGGAATGCTGGTCACTTTATTGTTGTGTAAATCAAGAGTCCGTAAGTTGGGCATCTCTGCCAGTGATTCCCAAGGGAAAGTCGAAAGCAGATTACCATCCAGCCGTAACTCATGCAGTAGTTTCAAGTTATAAAAGCTGCTGATATCAATGTTGGCTACACAGTTATAAGTTACCCACAGGTATTTGAGATCTACTAGGTAGTAAAAGGCTTCAGTTGGAATCCTTCGTATGACAGTTTTCTCTATTCGAAGTTTTACAGTATCCACAGGAACATTCACAGGGATTTCATACATGTCAGGATCATTACAGAGTACAGACCTAGTACCAGGGGAAAAGAAAAAAGAAAAGGAGAGAGATACTGGCGTTTATTTATCAGAAATTTGAATTTCAGAGTTAATTGCAAATGCTATTACTTTCTGCAACACTACTCCCAGAATAAAGAGCATGGAAATGAAGGACAACCCTCTGCATTTAAAAGCTGAACAAACTCCACAAACATGAAGTCTCTAAAGAGAAAAAGAATACAAAACAGAAAAGATCCTTCTTTCACATGAAATCTAGATTTGCTTTATTCTAAAGCGTGTAAGCACCATCCTCTGTGCATCCCTCACTCTATTGACAACTGAAAAACAGAAGCCCTTTTATAAGGAATAATGCATGCATGTATCTCAGGTGGGAACTGCATGCCATCTAATTTACTGAAATTCAGAATATAGGATTACTAATCTAATTTTTCTGTATGATAAAGATTAAAAGCATTTTCTATACTTACCTTTCAGAATGGACTGATAATTCAAAATATACCAAAGCATATTTGAGTAAAGAAGAGCTTTCTCTCTCTCTTTCTGATGTCTACTTATGAATTACTTCCTTTGTAGAGATGCTAAGAACTTTCTGTTCCAATTGATTTCAGTGAAATGGATTTCTCAGCATTTTCAGGTGTCAGTATACTTTTTCATTTCTTTGGGTTATATTGTTTGCACATACTAGCTTGAAGATTCCCCTGCCCTCAGTAAGTCTAATTTTCTCCCCCTTTTCTCTAGATTCTTCCTCTATTTTACTTTTTCCTCATGCAGTTTTATACCAATAGGCTGTGACAGTAAGTAGCAATGACAAAGAGCACCTCCTAAAATTGACATGATAATACCAGGTCACCACATTTCAAATTAACCTCCTTATTATCAAAAATTACATGATTTACTCTAGATTAAAAAAATAACAAACTACTGTATTTTATTTAAATCAGAGCCACCCTACAGTAGTTAAGTAGTTCATAGAAATGGAAAGGACATTAGAACAGTAGGAAAATCAAGGAGCAGAAAGAAATTGCCTTCTGCAAAAAATGAAGATTTAGAGTAGCTATTTGCCAAGTACAAAGCCATAATCACCATCTGCTCCTATTCAGGACTGCTGCTAGCCAGAGAACATCAGTGTAAAATATGTGTTTATTTCAACTATTCTACAATTACTTGGCAATGTATGAGAATGTTATCTCCAATTTCTTTAACCCTTTTTCTTATAAATTTTCCTATATAACAAATAATAAAATATATACCTTGTTCCAGTGCCATCACTTCTGCCATGGTAAACGCAAGTGCATTGTGAAGGACAAAAACCAAGAACTTCTTCAAAAAAGCTCATTAGGAAGTAGAAGTAAATAAACAGATACATGGCTTCCTCCCAGCAGAACTGACATGAAAAAATTTGAAAACTTTATTCCTAGGCACTCATGTGCAGTGTGCTACGAACGTGCATGTAGACATCCATTTAGTAACAGCAGATTACAACAGATTAGCCGAGATCTGTAGTTGCTTAACCTTCAAATGTATCCTGAATGGGATCAGTTAAACCAGCTCATTCTTTACTCTGTCAGAACACACGCTGCTTCAAATCACATCCAGTGTATTTTAAGGCTATTTTAATATGTAGCTTGTAGAGCTTGTGTGTAATAAAATATCTCTTTTCTTCTTCTACGAGGAGGTGCATTAGTTACTGTCTATAAAGTGTTCCAAGGTTCCTGAAGGAAGTCTAGTACACCATGAGGATACTGTGAGGCATTTTCTTTAATACTAAAAATTACAAATTAATAGGAAGCCTGGATTCCACAGCTTTTAAAAAATCCCATAAAAACAGGTTTTTGGCAAAAATACACATATATTCAAATAAGTTACACACTGCAAAGTCAAACTTCAGATGCACACACAGATGCTAGATTTATACAGTCATCTTCTTTATCCTGAATAAATCCATTGCTCATATTGCCAAAGGTATTTCTTGAAAATTACACATCAGACCTATATAACCAAAAGATTGACTTAAAACTGATGAGAAATTACCATAAACATTTACTCAGTTTTATGTGCCTCCCAAGTGTGGAGCTTTAGGGTACATTTTGTCTCATTTTCAGGATTTGCTGTACAGTCACAAGCACTAGAAATATGCTACTAACAAAACAAAACAAAACAAAAGCTGTCTTTCCTACAAATTAATTTGGTTCTATGAGTCAAACTTTTAAAAATACTTTAAATATCCTGAAACTCCTTCAAAATCCTAAAAGCTGTTAAAAGATTCTATAGCATTTGGCTAGATATTTTGACATCCTAACATATTCACAGACCTTTGCAAAGCATATCAACATGGACACTTGGTATGGAAAGATACAGCCATAGGGAGAATCCAGAATATTTCAAGTCTGGAAAAATTTCAAGGGAAGTTGGTGGAAAGTAATTCATGAAAGGAATTACAAATGTAAAATCTAGGGCTACTGAACCTAAGCACCTCCTGCTTCAGTCTCTCCCTGCTCCTTTGTCGCCTTGTCCAACTCCGTAAGAGTCACAGAGGCCTTTTTTGTTTGGGACACATATACTGGGCGAATAAACCTCACTCTCAAAAACTAAAGTCTTAGCAGGTTTTGTCTTTCTGTCTTCTTAACTTATCTAAAAGGATTACTGTGACTAACAAAAAACAGCTGGCTGGGACAGATTATTATTCCAAAAGATTAATTAGCTTTAACCCAGATTTCACTCCTTTCCACGTAATTTATGCAGGCAAATGACAGGAGTTCTATGATGTCAATGCACTTTGAGATACACTCATGGGCAAAGCATTGTTTATAGTTATCTCTTGTCTTGTCTGACATCGCACCATTGCCAGGATCGCCCTCCGAAACCTGCAAAGGACAAGAAAGGAAAAACAGAAATATCATTAGCTGGAGAACAAAATGCAAAGAAAAGTTGTGTAAGATAGCCTTAATTATTATAATAGTTTTCAAACTCACTTAATAAAAGATGTGTATTTGGAATTCAAAAGGATCTGGGTCTTTTTCACTTCCATGTACAGGAATGTACAATTAATTTCATTGTTTCTTCTACAACAGGGATCACAGTAGCTTTTGCTTATCCCAGGAGAGGGTACATCCACGACAAAGACGAACTTATAGAAAGGGAAGAAACCCAGATGTTTTTTCATTGATTCTGCAGAATCAGGTAAGTTCACCCAGACAGAGATCACAGGCTCTGCTTGAAGGTTGGTACCAGAGGAAGGAAGGATGCCTCTTTGCAAAACCCACTCCTCAGTCAGAAGCACTGGCTTGATTAGAGCACGTGTTATGCTTGCTCAAATTGGAATAGGCTTAACCTATTTAATTTAATGAAAAGGGTCAATCCATCCTAATAACTCAGAATATGATACATTCCAAATCAAACAAGAAAATCTACACAAGTAACGTGTCACTAAGCCACACACATTTTGGCCACAGTCATTAAAACCAGTCTACTACTGATGCAACCCAAATGCCATAACAAATCCTCTTGAGAAAAGACAAAGGGACTTTCAAAACTCTTATAAAAGCTATGTTAATGTTTTCTCAAAAATATTTTATTAATTCAGTATGTTCTGAGGATGATCAAAACAATTTATTTTAGACTTTCCTGTCCAAAAGGCCATCTTTGGTAAATTAACAGTGGCTTACCCTTTGCTCTTCACTAATCAGTTTGTCATATATTACAGGTGATCCTTCTATAGTCAGATGATATGCTAAAATCATGAAATAGACTGGTACTAAATTAGGAACACTTACTTTTTGTTTGCAATGACATAAATACAGGGATTATAGAATGTGGAAGATTTTGCAAAAAGAGGAGCTATTATGGCCATTGCAGGAGAAATTTTCTTTGGGTCTCCAAAGGAAGACCACAAACACACAATAGAATATGGAGACCATGCCATCAAGAACATTACAATCATCACCACAGACATCTGTAAAACAAGAGGAACAGACATATAACCAGTATTACCTCAAGATGAAGACCTCATAACATAACTTCATAACAAAAGCACATGCACCTGTGTGAAAACAGATCTATCCTGAATGAAATAATATATGAATAAGCACACCTGACACATTTTGACAGGTTACAATGAAATCTCACTTTAATAGTAGGGGATTTAATAGCACACTTCACTGCCATGTACCTGGCATACTGTCATTTCATTACATACAATCTTCCTTCAAAGTCAGCGCTACTGATTATGTTAAATCTCTCCATCAGGAGTTTAGATGACCAGAGACAACTTCACACATGAATTATGACCCCCATAACAGGATACTCAGGGATGCTATTACAAACAATAAATATGAACAGAGAGAAAAATCTAAGCCAAGTGTTTAATTAGGCTGTTAATAAAAACATTTCACATGGCTTAACTATGGTACAGTGAAATAAAAGAAAGTAAATGTTCTAGGACTTATACTGAAGGAACCCAGAAATGTCTGCTTGGTTTAATGAAGAATTATAGCCATGTTCAAGTATCATACTGAGGAGATATCTGATATTCTGTCTGTCTGTCAGAGAGAACAATCTGGGCATGGTGGGGCTCACACGCCAGAACACAACATGCCACAGCTAAACCTGAACAGCAACAAACTGCAGTAGTGGAGGAGACTATCACAGTATCAACTGAGACAGACTTCTCTGGCTTTTGTTATGGACATGAATCAATAATGGAAACTAGAATAGAAAGCTCAAATCAAGAGGACAAAACAAACCAGTAGAAAACCAAACAAAACTGCCAGGCTCTCTTTATGTACAGGATTTCCTAGTGCTGTTTATTTCTACCCTTATTCAGTCTTTTGGTGATGAACAAAATGAGAAACAAGAAGTAAACAGCTAGTTTGTATGAGTTGTTCTAGAGAATAATGAACAAATAAGCAGTGACTGTCTCACAGAAGATTCCTATTTAAATACAAATGCAATACCCATTGATAATAATGTTATAAATAACACTTTTATTT